TATACCAAATACCTTGAGAGAATGAGGCTCTCATCCTGGGGGGCTGCTCAAGACCATTGTTCAAGATTAAGTAGAACAACATAGCCCACAAAGGCAATGTTCTCCATCCTACCTTGGTGACTGGGGTCTTAAAGGCTTATGTGTAAGGAGGTATCTTCCTGTCTGGAGCGAAATAAAGATGCATGTGGAAACAAATAATCCAAAGGGCTAATGGACTGTGAACCCCAGCCTCCACAGCATGGCAACTAGAGGAAACAGATGGTGCCGACTACCACTGCTGACTGACCTGAACAGGTTCAGCATCAGAGGACACAAAGAAATGTAAAAATCCAGGTTTACTAGTCTGATAGAGTCTGGTAGAACTCTAGACTTGGGCTTTTGGACACTCTTAAAACCTGAAAGTGAGCTTACTACAAGGCTCAACTTAAAGTCAAACAATAATTAACTAAACTAACACAGGCAATGAATGTACAAATGTGCTTTACACAACTGATCTAAGTATGGATTGTGATAAGCGTTGTATGAGCCCCTAATAAAATGAGTTTAAAAAAAGAAAAGAAAAGTAAACTAACACATTGCCATGGCGTCAATTCTGACTCACGGAGACCCTATGGGACAGGTCAGAACAACTGCCCCCGTGGATCCCTGAGGTCATAACTCTTTGTATCAGTAGGGAGTCTTCACCACCCTCCAACAGACAGGCCTAAGCATGAACAACAGCACCTGGGAGGTATGCACTCTCTAGGAGGAGATCAAAAGGATGGTATTTTCCCAGATGGCAGGAAGGGCTAGGAAAGGAGGACAATGGAAATGTCAAGCACAGGGAGGGCATTTTGCACAGTGCAATCAATCCCACAAAACAAAATGCTTATGAGTTGTTGAATGGAAACATTTGCTCTTTAAACTTTCACCCAAATTACAGAAAGTTAAAAAAAAAATCTAAGAGGATTTTTTTCCCCTTACATAAAACTGGAAGAGTTTTGTATAGGTTTTGTATTCAGTAACTTTCAAAACTGCTAATTTTGGGGTGGGAGTAGGACGGGGTGGGTTAAATAGGCTCTCTTCTGGTAGTAATTTAATTTTTAATATTATGCAATTAGCCTAACATTTCAGGATATGTCCATTCTTTGTAGTTTAAATTCAGTGTAAATGACATGGATGAGTCTAACAGAATTTGTTATCTGAGGCTTGTGATGGCTATCACATTCTTTTACAAATAAGTTAGAGAATCAGATTTAACAAACACCTGGAGTTTTAAGATCCAAACCAGGAAAATGAAAATCTAGTTAACAAATTGAAAAATAACATCCAAACTAACAAATAGGCTACAGCAAACAAACAAACAACTCTTTGACTCCTACAACGAGTAATAGCAAATGCATGCATAGTGTTTGTGCTCTGCTGCCTACTTACCATTCTTCCACCGATCAACATACATGAACGGGCTTCACAATGTTGGTTTAAAAATTTCAATTATAGATTCCCATAAACTTCTGGAAGTCCCTCTTATAATCCACAGAACAATTCTCAGAAGTAGGATGATTACAACATCCTTTGATAATTTAGGGAACCTCACTCACCCACTCTCACTGACTTCCAGTGATCTCCAGTAGGTTTCCGAAACCACCGTAACTGTCTATGTGTGTAGAAAATCCCGTCTTTCTCCCAGAGAGCTGCTGGTGGTTTCGAATTGCTGACCTTGTGGATCGCAGCCCAAGCGTAACAACTATACCACTGGGGCTCCTATTTAGGACACTTACGCGTCAAATAGTGAAGTGGTTGTCCCAGTGTCATTCACTGCCATCAAGTTGGTTTCAGCTCATAGTGACCCTACCGGGCAGTGTAGAACTGCCCCTGTGGGTTTCTGAGCCTGAAACTATGGAAGCAGAAGGTGGAGCAGCTGGTGACTTTAAACTGTTCCCGCACCATGGGGAGCTGCTCCAATGTCACACAGCTAGGAGTAACGGATTCACACTCAAGCATCCTGGAAGTAGGTTCCATTCTCCTTATCACTGTGTTATTTTATAGTCCATATGTCTTTCTCTAATAAAATTATCATATCACATTGCAAGATTTACCAAAGTTGTCCTGATAGCTGAGCACCCTCTTACTTCTTCATCATGCTTTACTATAGCACCTATATCTTTTTAGATACTTTTTAATGGATTTTCTTACAGTCAGTTATCATACTTAGGCCTTGCATCATGTGGTGAAGCTCCTGGACTCTGCTTTCATGGACTATTACTGGTTTGTGTCCAGTTACAGTGATCTTTTCCTTTACAGGTAGTTCATGTGAAGCAGAATTATATATATATAACTTCAAAATCACAATATGTTAAATAAAAAAAAAAAAGAAAGAAAGAAAAGAAAAATCACAGTATTTTAAGAATAAAACGTGGATGGTCCAAACCATAGAATTTGGCCATAGGCAATATGAGTATAAATGGATATCTTGGTTGAATTCCTTCCTTACCTACCACCTCCTTTTCTCCCCACTGAACATCAGAGGGAGAAGGGAGGAATTAGACTAACTCAGAGAATATTTCCTAAGAAACCTTGAATCATTCTATTCAAACAGATAACATCTCTAATTACTCAGCTACTTCAAGCCTAAAGATTGGTGTGAGGCTAGAATGGCTGGGAAAGGCTCTTCCCATTTTTCTCCAGCTACTTTTCTATTACTTAAAAAAATGCAGACATGTATTCCTTTGTAACTGAAACACAGCTGAGAAGGATAATTAAAGTGGAAATAAATGTTAGGGCCTGTCTATGGAAGAATTTTATTAGCTTCCAATAAGGATATGAGTCTACACATCATTCAAAATAGAGAAAGGATAACTAGAAATACTTCAATAGACATCTTTTCAATTATACCCAGATTTTCACCAATTTTTGGACAATTCCTTGAAGAAAAAAATTACTGTTGTCAAAAAAAATTTTTTTTAATTGCGAGGGGCCCTGAGTTTTTTTAAACGAAAAGGGGGTGGTAGGCCAAATAAGTTTGGGCACGTGTATTCTGTTCTCTTGCTGGCACTACCAAGTTTCCATCTCTTTCTTGTATGTCAGACTTACTTATTTAATGGCTTATTACTACTCTTTTCCTGGAGGCATTTCGATACATCCAACACAGGATTCAATGATGAACACTTCCTTCCCAAACCTACTGTCCTTTATTTCAAGCTACCTACTCAATCAAAAAAAATGTTGGGCACTCCTTCTTCCTCCTATCCCCACACTAAATCTAATAGATTCCTAATGATGCTTCTAATGACTTTGACCATTTCTCTTCATCTTACTATTTTACCTAACTCAGGCTGCTATTGTTTCTCCTGTAATGCCTTTCTTCAATCCCTCTTCTAGATTTTAAATACTTTTAAGTGGTCACTGATGTCTGTAAAGTTCCAAATATTTTACGTAGATTGGAAAAGCCCATAGGCTCTTTCTGCAGCTCCCCTATTAGTTAACATTATAGTCACCCTAAATTTTATTTGGGTCCTAGAATGTTCCCTTTCCTTCTGAGTCTTTGTACCTATGTTTACCTCAATGTGGAACATATAATCTCAAGATAAATGTAATTGATTTTTTCAGGGAGCCTTTCCCGCTCATAGATGGCCCTGTCATGCAACCACATGCCCTGGAGGTCCTGCGCCTGGCTTTCATGGCACCACAACTCCTCCTCTCAGCACACTGGACTCTGTTGTTAGTGACTTCATCTGCACTCCCTACTAGACTCTCGCTTTCACAAGGCCACAAGAACACCTGTTTGTAATTTGTTCACCTTGTGTTACCAGCACCTTGCTCACAGAACTGCTAGACAAACATTTGCTAAATGAACTATACAACCATAAAATAAAAACACAGGAATTAAGATCACTTTTGAGGATATGACTTTTAAAGCTAGTCACAGAGTGTCTGTGTAGGATACTTTTATTTTTAAAAAAATCTATATAAAATAAAAAAGGAAACCTGTATGTAAGAATCACCTTCATAAAAAAGTTAAACGCTATCACCTTAGTTTAGCCAAGGATGTTGAGATGGTAAGGAAATTCCATGTATACGGATGTGTAAGTTGAGGCACTAGGATTGTGATAGCCAAGGCAGGTATTATTTAATTCACACCTCAAAGAAATGATGTAATTCTAGATCCATGCTTCTTCCAATTAAAGAAGTATGTTGAACTTCATGGGTTCAGCACCTCTTATAAATATAGATGACACTATGGACAAGCCATCAGCCAGATGTGAACTTTGAGCTGTTTATCTGGGAACAGAATTGCAGTCATCCATCTAAAGTTGTCTGCCTTTTTGCTCAGGTGACCATGGATGCATATGCATGAGGGCAGGTGGAGGAGGGTAAGTCATAACAGAGCAAAAACAGAGCTAAGTGCCTCACAAAGGAGTCAATACCAAGTCCCTAATCTCAACAGGCTAGCTTTCCCCAATCCCTACCAAGTTCAGCGCAAACAAACTGTACTAGGAAACCAGGAAAAGAAGGGGTTTAACTGCAATGAAAACAACTCAAATGTAACAGACTATAATAACTAGACTGTCTCTGTTCTAGAATTTTAAACAAAGGTTAAACTTGTCAGATTTAAATCTACAATGAACACGGGATAATTTAGTTAGGCCATTTAGATATTGAAGAGAGTATACTTTTTAGCTGTAAAACTCTAGGACTCTTATTAAAATTCAGTACTTATTTTACATCTCTCTCATGAAATGTACTTTGGTGTGCATTTTGAAAATTCAAGATGAAATGCCATTTTCCCTGAAGCTCTCTCACTTCTTGGTAGCTGTCTCGAGGCGCCAGGTTTGGGCATCAACTTTCAGTGGGGTGAGAACAGATGATGCAGCAGGTGAACAGTGGGGGTGAGGGAAGTGTGGGGAGAACCGGTGATACGCTGACAGATTTAAAGTAACTCAAACAGTCAGTGGCCAACCAGAGTTAAGAAACTAAGTTAACAACAACGACAAATTGGTAACTGAAGCATAAGCATTTACCTGGTAGCTGCTACCTTTCCAGAACTTCTTCATTTCCTTACGTCTCCATGCAACAATTGAGGCAGTAATAAGAGTACAAGGTACCAAGTAGAGGAGAGCAGGTTGCCCCTTTTTCATCAGCACCAGGACAACAAATGTCAGTATCATGCCCACCGCATAGGCTGCAAGAATAATACCAAGTATCGGTCATTTCTACACGTTACTGACTGGATTGCCTTTCTTACTGAAGTATGGGTTTAAAAATATTTCTGAGGACATTTTTGCCTCGACTTCTCTTCATAATTTCATTATTTTCATAGAAAGTAATTGAGAGCTTTAAAAAAATTTTTAAACTGCTATTAATATTCATGGAATCATTTATCACTGAGAAAGATTATAGTGATTTAAGAAAGCCTCTCGTGTTAAAATCTTAGTTAAAATTTGTAACTAGAGGAACTAAATGTTATTTTGAGAAATCTTCCTACAGATTGAGTACACATTTCTTAGGTTTTTAAAATAAGTACATACCAAATGAGATTTGTTAGTTTCTTAGTGACTCAGTTCTATTACTTAGAATATTAGAACTGGAATGAAAGCCCTTTGTGGTCAATTTAGTCCTTCGTTTATAAATGAGGCAATGGAGACTGAGACCTAAGTAACTTGCTCATTTACATAGCAGAATTGATGGATTCCCCATTGCCTTATTGAGTGTTCTTTTATTCTAGCAGGCTGACTGCTGTTAGACTCTTAATGTTAATGCTCTTAGGGCATACAATACGCCACAGTTCACAAGGCTTTTCTTTTCTTTATAGTTTAATCAATTAAACTAACTTCCACCTGTCCTTTCACATACCTGTTCTTTCTTGCTGTCAGGACACCTATTTCTCACATCCTCCCTCCCTATTATAAATACATACTTTCAGTTTGCTGGACTCAATTCCACTGTGGACTTGAAAGACTGGCTAGCTAATGGAGGCTATTTACCTGACATGAGAGCTTTGGGAAGTAAACTTTGGGACAGTTCCTTAATATATTCAGGACTGGTAAAAGTATTTTTATTTCTTATATTTTTCCTTTTTTTAAAAAAAAACACTACTCATAATACTAGAAACAGAGTAACACTACTTCTGCTGCCCCAGGTGAGATGGTATTACACCATAAATACATATATATATAAAGGCTCCAAAACCTTGTGATAAAAATATTAAAGTTTAACTATCCCCTTTGATTGAAAATTTTGTCGTATGCTTAATAGCACAGAATTAGAATGCAGAATTCCTTATTTTCAGATCTCTACTTTTTCTTCCAGGCAACTGAACATATAATATAGGTGAAAAACAAGAAATTTACCAATTATTGATGAAACATAATATATAGAAGAACCAATCTGAACATCAAATCTTCTACAGTACGCAATCAATAGACCTAAAAAAAAAAAACCATATAATTTTCTTAAAACAACTACAAGAGAAACTCAACAGTATCTATGTAACTTTTTGTGTTTAAGTTCCAGTATTGCATCATGGTATTATTAAAGCACCTTGAATTCTAGACAAAGTTTTACATGCAGACTTTTAGAATTTATGACCATGGTGAATTTCCAAGACTCTTAACTGTTTACAGAATAGAAAGCCCCGTATTTCTCCTGTGCTTGTGGTTTCAAACTGCTGACGTTTTGGATCACAGTCTAACGCACAACCCACTATGCCATGAAGGCTCCTTACCTAGTACAATAAAATGATTTGGCATTTTAATACAAGAAAGGTCAACTAAAAATGAAATACAGGCTCTGGTTTGTGGACACATAGGTAGGTGGAAATAACACATTTACTACATACCATCTATACTCGAGTATATGCCGACCTGAGTATCAGCTGAGGCACCTAATTTTACCACAAAATCGCATAAAAAATGTGCTGAAAAACTAGGCTTATATACGAGTATATACGGTATCTCTTTTAAGAACTTTGTTGAACCACCTCAAAGAAGAAATCTCAGAACTGTACTTACTAAATCAATCCTATTAAAGAACACCAAGAATGACATTTAACCATTTAAAATTTCTTTAAAATGGTTACCTTATTTGTTATCTTTATTAATTTTGAATGAATTAGTTTTGGACCCTGCATAATCAACAACTTCCATAATAGTAGTCCTTGTTATTTTTACCACATTTGCCATTTAATCATGCTTCCACATTAAAAAAAAAAAGCTATCTTTTTAACCCAAATTAGTATTTAGTCTTTAAGATTAAGTCATATATTATCAAAAACTCTGCTCTTTGCAGAAATGTTTGTTTGACACCTTTAACATTTACTATGGGAAGTCGATTCCAAGTCATAGTGATACTACACAAGATTTTATGTAGCACTGGAGTAGACCTAGTAAATTTAGGGGTAAATGTAAAGATAGAGCTACTCAAGGAACCGAAGGTTCACGCACGAGAACAGCTTTTGGTTGCTTACAACATAATCTTTTTTAAAAATAACATTTTATTGAACTTTAGGTGAAAGCTCACACAGTAATTTAGGTTCCCTTTGAGCAATTTCCACGCAAATTGTTCAACGACATTAGTTACATCTATCACAATGTGCCAATATTCTCTTTAACCACATTCAGCTTGTTCTTTCTCCCACTGCATTTTCCCAGCCCCTCATCTTCGCATCTTCACAAAGTGCACTTTCTGAGGGGACAAGCTGACATCAATCCCATTTGCTTTTTCTAAGACAACTTTTGAGCCATGGGCAATATGAGAGGGCCTCATGACAAAATTCCATGGTCTTCATTCCATTTTCACGAACTTTTTGAAATCCCCTTGCATATTTTGTCTAGTACAATTCAGGCTTATTTTCTCACCCTGATAATTATTTTTTAAACATTTTCTCTTATTGTCATTGTTTTAACACCAGCCAGAACTACTTGACAGTGACTGCTGTTAATGTTGGTGACTTGATTCTGATCGTGGTGACCACTGTGTGACAAAACAGAACTGCCCCATACAGTTTTCTTGGCCACCATCACTGTAGACGCCGATCACCAGGCCATTCCCCAGCAGAGCTGTTGTGTAGGCACAAACCACCAGCATTCTCATTAGCAGCCCAGCAAGTGCTCACTTGTGTCACCAAGGGCACCTTAACACAGATACAGTAAAAAATGTTTAACTTTTTATTGTGATTTACATAAACGTTTACAGAGAAAATGGTTTGCTATCTAATAACTCAGACATGTCTTATTTTGTAACATTGCTTGCCATCCCCATAATGCAACAGCACTCTTCCCACTTCCTTTCTGTTTCCCATTTCCGTTCATCCTTCTCACCTACCCTTCCTGCCCTCTGTGTTTTATCCCTGGGCGAGGGCCACCCTTTTGATCTCCTACGGTTGGAAGAGTGCATTCTCTACCCATTTATAAACTATCAAGGGCTCATGTGGGAGGGGGGAGCGGGGAGGGAGGGGAAAAATGAGGACCTAATGTCGGGGGTTTAAATGGAGAGAAAATGTTTTGAGAAATGATGTACAAATACGCTTTACACAATTGATGTGTGTATGGATTGGGATAACAGTTGTATGAGCCCCTAATAAAATGTTTAAAAAAAAAAAAAGAGTGCATTCTCTTGTGTTACTGTTTACCTAACAGGTCTGTCTATTGTTTGACTTAAAGCTTAAGTAATTCTAAGATACATTTTATACATAATAATTTTTAATCAGTATGTTTTTGCTGACATTCCCACATACCTGGTACAATAATGTCGCCAAAACCCAATACTGACACTGGCATGAGGCATACGCTCATGACTGAGAAAGATATCAGCTTTGGGACCCTGATGACAACTGGTAACTGTAAGAAAAAAGCAAAACACAAACGATCACCATGCCTTTTAGGGTCCTTTACCCGTCTCTTTCAGACAGAGAGACTGACAGAATCATTTCTGAACAATGCTAGAGAACTTCAAATCAGAGGACATAAATTCTATATGAGAAACTTTGGAAAAATGAAACACACAACACACAGGTAGGATTAACAGTATTAACCCAGTATTCCCACATCTAATCTTTAACATTTTAAAAATTCAAGAATAGGACTAAGGCTTTGAAATAGTTTTGTTTGGTTGGTTTTTTTTGGGCAATCTGGATTTTCCCCCCACCAAAAAGAGTCTTATCTCAAGAGGGTGTGATTTAAAGTCCAATGAACATATCTGAACATATCCTTACTTTCTCATGGGGAGCTGAGGGCTGAGCAGAGGCTTCCACAAAGTTTCCATCATTCTAGGATGAAACCCAAGTCAACAGGTATTTAATAATCTAGAATAGCTAAGAAAAGGGCTGTAGTTTGTGAAAAATAAAGTTTTACAATACCTTAGCATGCACTACACACCCAAGGAACACATGGGAAGGCAAATGATTCATTAGACCCACAAACATACACTGAGCAGCAAATCCTATTGCTCACCATCCCTACCTTTTCATTATTTCCAAAAGGTCCTGCTGCAAGTTCAACCATGATACTCTCGCCATTCTAAAATCAAGAAGGAAGATAGAAGAAGTTGTGCAACCATTTACAGGAAACAAACTGCACGATTAAGTAGCATGCCTTACGACATACTGTATATAAACTGAAAATGGGCCATAAGCCCATTGCTGCTGCGTCATTTTCAACTCAGAGAGACCCTACAAGACAGAGGAAAACTGCTCCACAGGGTTTTCAATGCTGGGAGCTTTTTGGGAGCAGACTGCCACATCTTTTCCCTGGTAGGTTTGAACCACAGGTTTCTTAGTCAGCAGCCACACACTTTGAACACCAAATCACCAGAGCTCCTTAAAATGGGTTGCAGCCTGCTTTTCTCGCAAAACAGTCTCTGAAGATAACATACATTGAAATCATCTATACCAAAGCCCTAATGGTGTAGTGGATACTCTTTGGGCTGCTAACCACAAGGTCAGCAGTTCAAAACTGCCAGATATGTAGCAGGAGAAGGTGAGGCTCTCCCTTAAAGAGTTACAGTCGTGGAAACCTACAAGGGCATATCTGCCCTGTCCTATAAGGGTTGATGTGAATCACTGACTTGATGGCAGTGAGTTGTATACAAACTTCACCCAACATACTGCTTACGTCATCAGAAGTCAACCATCATTAGAAATGGATAATAAACCATGCGTAGATTACTGAAGTGAACTTCTGAGCACTGCCTTATTCTGACATATTAAGATCGGACATTCACAGCACTCTACAAGTATTTTAGTGATAATATGTCCTAAGTGAACGGTTCTACGTCACTTTCAGTAATAAGCCTGCATGCTGCGGCTACTGTTGTTGGGTGCCAGCCAGTCGGTTCGACTCATATTAACCCTCTGGACAACAGAAGCAAACGCTGCCTGGTCCTGTGCCTCCCTCACAAAGGCTTGAGCCCAGGTTGCAGCCACACTGACTAAGGCTACAAAAAATACTAAGACATGTAACTTCAAAATAAGTATTGGTAAGTTTATTTGGATAAATGTGTAACATGTATTCCAGCTACTCACCAAAGCAATAAAACAACAGATGAACTTGAAAAGATTGAACCCTAGAGAAGAAGAGAAACTTCTCTCTCCTGACTCCTTCCAACTTTAGCCCTGCCTGCTTTCTACGGTCCAATCAAAATATTAATCTTAACTGAATTTCCCTCCCTGTGTCTGACTAAAGGCTATTTTTGTTTTTATGGGGGCTGTGTGAGGAGTTCATTAAAAAGTTCCTTCCTGACTGTGTGGGACGGGGAAACACGTTGAGGTAGCAAGCTAAAGGTTACACAAAGCACCCATTTTACACTTCACTTTACTGACACATATCAGAGAGTAGGCCGTAGGAAAGCGTACGAGTTTTAGGTAAATACCATGGACTAACTATACTAATATATGGGTGGGGCACATTAGAGAAATGATGTCAGTGTTTTTAGAAGAATCTTGCTGATAACATGAGCCAAGTAGAAGGGATAAAATGTCCAAGCCCTCAAAATCTTTTCCTCATGCTAAGCCTTTGGGTTACAGAAAGGTTAAGAAGTCAAAGAGTTTAAGAAAATAAACTGATACTGAATATACCTTCTTAAAACAAATTCCTAGGTTGTGATCAAATTTCTGGATTAAGACCACACTCTGGTTCATTGTCTAATTGCTATATAAAACATTCAACTGAAAATCATCACTGTCATCCTCTCACATTAACAAATTTGAATAACTTATTATTTTAAGATATTATATCAAGTCCAATGGTGGATAAAAAAATGAGTAAGGCAGGTTTTTAACTGTCCATATTCATTGCCTACCTGCCTTACCAACTCACTATAAGACCACTAATAGTTGGGTCAAGGACATATTTAGAATATCCAATATTCAATACTTTAAAACCATAACATCAGAAATTAAATACCTGGGTTTTAGGTTGTTACTTATTAAAGTGAGATCTGTAATCGATAGAAACAAACAAGAAGGTACTAAAGTCTGTAACAGTAAACTTCAAAGAGTACTTTAGTCTTTCCCACCAGGTCAAATTGCTGGAAATTATATTCCTAATCAATAGAAACTAAGATGGGAAAAAATGAAACATTTCCTAATCACAGAAGAAGGAAAGTCAGAGGCGCCTTTATTACTACCCTGTGCCTTTTAAGTTATTGAATATTTTTATGAAAAGATATTAAAAATTTTGTGTGTAGACATGTTTGACATTTATAAAGTGTATATCGTGATAAAATGGTCAATCCCATTGTTGAATGGTTCACCGTGTGGGGTGGGAAGGGGCAACTCTATATCAGATAACATGAAATTGCTCAATGAAGCAAACAGCTCATCATTAGGGCACAGGCATGTGCTAGTAGCACAGTTTTGTAGTTAGGGTCCACGCAGCTGATCCAAACTCATGGTGATCCTATGCACAAGTCAGAGAAATGCTGCCCGATCCTGTGCTATCACCATGATAAGTTACAGCTTAGACCATTGTGATCGTAGGACTCTCATTGGCTGATTTTTCCAAAGATCTTCAGGTCTTTCTTCCTAGTCTGTCTTACTCCACTGAAACATGTTGAGCAACAGAGCAACACTCAAACTTCCACTCACAGATGAGGTGTACTGGCCAGGAGTTGAACCCTAGTCTCTTATATGAAAAAAACAATGAGTTGAAATAAAACATGGAAGGTAAGCACACAAACCAAACCCCCTGCTGCTGAGTCGATTCTGACCCATTATGCCCCTATCAAACTAGGGTCAATACGCATCGCCATGGGGTCGATTCCTGTAAGACAGGCTGGAACTGCCCATGTGGGTTTCAGAAACCGTAACTCTGTACGGGAGTAGAAAGCCTCATCTCTCTCCAGTGGAGTGACTTGGGCTTCTAACTAACAACCTTGTGGCTTGTGGTTAGCAGCCCAGTGCGTAACTGCCCTACCACCAGGGCTCCTTAGTAACCCTACAAGGCAGAATGAAACTACTTCAAAGCATCTCCAAGTCTGTAAATCTTTTTTTTTTTTTTTCAAGTCTGTAAATCTTTATAGAAGCACATTGCTACAACTTTTTCCTACAGAGTGGTTGGTGGATTTGAACTGCCAACCTTTCAGTTAGTAGTCCTATGCTTAATCTACTGTGCCACCAAGGCGTCCACAGCAATGTAGGTAGCTATAATTTGGGGCAATTAAATATAATAAAACCTGCAAAAGCCATAACCTGTGTAAGCCAGAAACCTGTCAGAGAAGAAAACACAACTATTTCCGACTAAATAAAGCAGTACACCCCTGACAAAGTTTAAGATTCTCATCTTTTAGCATATTTCCTCATGAATTTAAAAATTCCAAAGGTCATACCTTTGTGATGAACGGTGTTATGAATACAAAAAAAACATCATAGAGGAGGAGAAGGCCTAGAAGTATCACACATGACTGTCAAGGGAAGAAAAAAAGTAAAGGTCAAATTTCTCACACCTAAGTTTAGGAGGTTACACTACTTTGTAAGTACAAATAAATATATGAACATATATTTGAATATTATCTTCTATTACACCAACATTTTAATGATTTCTTGCTAATTAGAAGCATAATGAAGAATTCATTCAACTACTAATGACTTAAAACTTTTTTTTTTTATCAGGGGAGAGTGTGAACGCAGTTC